AGAAATATAAAAATAAATAAAAGAAAAATACTGGATTTCTTTTGAGGATAAAATAGCTTTACTTTTCTTTGTACTTTGTTTTATATTTCTCTTATTTTGAGTCAGTCAGAAGTTCAAGTGGAAGAAGTATTTACAGTTTGAAGTAAATAGTTTTTGTAGTTTCTCCTACTTCTTTTTTTCTTTTTGTGGACTTTGCTGGAGTGATATTAAGGATCACAGGTGACTACTTGAAATATAAAAATACTTTTCGCATTTCATTTTCAAGGAGTACCTATTGTCAAATTCGTAAAAGACAGTGGCGTACTTTAAATTAGTTAAAAAATTTAATATTTTCCTGTGAAATCTTATCAAAAAATAGCCAACAAATTATTTCCATGATAATAAATGATAGAGAGTGTCTCGTTATTACCTACTAAAAAAATGAGAGGAGATTATTTATTATTCGTTGTCGAAGATATGAAAATATGAAAAAAAGTTTTACACAGATGTTACATAGCTTATAAATAGGCATATCCTAAAAATATTTTGTTCTATACAGGGTGTCCCAAAAAAAGTGTTGATACCCAAGTAGCATTTGGACGTTATCTAACGTCGGGTATACGTCGCGTTCAATAAACCCGACGTCGGGTACCAACGTCGGTTCGACCGCCTGACGACCCTTATTTGCACCTAAATGGGGAATACAGATTCGGGTCGCCTCGATGTCGGTATCTGACCTAATAGGGAATGTAATTCTACCAATTACCAACGTCATATTACGTTGGATTTTAGTTACTTATAATTCGTCGCGAAGCACTAACGTTACGTTTGGTTTCATATTCGCTACCAAGAATACATAAAAATCTAACCAAACTACCTAATTACAAATGGATTCATAATCACTCCTCGAATATAACTATAAGTGCCTATCTAATTTCATATTATAATAATTCTGAATCATTAATCCAAACATAAGTTTTGTCAACGGAAGTCACTATTTTGATATATGTGATTAAAATACTCCTGAAAACAACGAGTGCCTTCAAAATTAGGTAGATTTATGAAATAAAAATATCTATAAAAAAGTTACTCGCGAAATATTTTTTTTAATTTTCTAGCTGGTTTAATCATAAAACTGTACTGTGGTTCCCCCCAAACTCAACCTTATCAATATTATTCTACTAGAAATCGAAATGTGAATATAAATTTTAAAAACAAAAAACGATCTTAAAATGGCTGACAATCGGATACGTGTTAAGAATGGCGGATTTCTGTGTTCGACTTAATATGAACTACCAATATACCAATTCCGACCGGGTCTCCAACATTAGTCGTCTGACACGACCGACGTCATCAAACCGGACGACTGGCAATCGTATTATGACGTATATAATTCCAACGTACGCCACGTAACCTCACTTTTCGTATCAGTGATTTGTGGATTTGTGCAACTATATTTTAGTTTTTGTTTTCTCCTTAAAAAAATGGGCAGCCACTTTTTTAAGCCTAACCTCACATGTGGGAGGAGGATGGGGTCTGCTGGTTTCCTAAGCTAAATGAAATTAAGATGCACCAATGTAATGCAGCATCTCTTCCGGATAAAAATCATTTATGGGTGGAGGCAAGACATCACTACTACTATTATTATTTTGCAAAAGCCTCGACCTCTTTCTGTAAAATGTAGATGAATATCTAAATACCTTTTTAGTGTTTTTCTAGGCATAAGTTTGTTTACAAAAACTTTTTATTAGGTTATGTTCATGATGTTCATTAGGTCGCAAATGCTACTTAATGGGTTGTATTTACGGACGTAAATAGAGATACGTAAATTAGGTTATAAATATGAACATAAAATACAACAAAATATAATTGGCCGTTACTTTAGGGATTATCAGTGAGACATATCCTATTCGGACAACGGTTAGACGTCGGGCTAGTTCAAGTATATGTACGTCGTGCAATACAACGTGGGAACGACGTTGGGAAATTAATAAAAATGTTACGTTGTTATTTTGTACGTCGACAGATCGTTGGATTTACCGACTCAGATCCAACGACGTCGCTTTCCTATTAAAAGGTCGTATCACCAGCACCCGACCTAAATTTGCACAAAGTCTGACGTCGCTTCAGGTCTGATTTAGTTCGAAGTCAGATAGATGCTATTTGGGATAATGTTTTAAGTTTTTAAATTTGTCCCCCACCTCATTTTTCTATACAAACTTGAATTCAGCATGAAATTTTACATATATTACTCTATTTTTATTTCCTGCACTATGCGGGCAACATACCGCTCTATTTCATATTTATGAAAACTTTGTTAAAAATACTATATCCGAAAAGTGGTTAAAAATAGAGTGAATTTAACTTTTTTTAATACTATATTATCCTGAACAACAAAGATGACAGAATACACTCGCGAAGAAAAAATTACATTATCTTATACTGGGGGTAATTTTTATTGCGTCACCAACATCTTAATATTGAAAATGCTATATATCAACTTTTTCTGCAAAATGCAAACTTTGTATATTATAATTTTTCTTAAAGATTCAGAAACGAACATTTTTAGTGCTTAAAGTGTTCATAAATTTTGAGCGGTTATGCAGATATTCGCGCTGTATGGCTCTTTGAATAGTAATTTTTTTTCAAACTCACCAAATGATCTTTGTGTGGTATTTTACCGTTGAAAACCCGATATGAAATAAAATAAATTTAGGAACACTTCAAATATAAAATAGGTTCATTTTGTAATTCTCTGTCTAAGGGAGAGATAATATACAGGGTGTTAAAAAATAGAGTTATAGCATTTTAAATAATGCGATTTTGGCGACTCCATAAAAAATACCCTACCTAGAGGATAATGCAAATTTTCCTTTGGCAGATTTATCCTGTTATTCTTGTTGCTTAAGAAATGAACTTGCCATCAACAATTTGCAATTTTTTCAATTATCGTTTCTTTTTGAAGTTATTTTTCAATATGACAAGACGGCATTGGTGATTATTGTGAACTACATACCACTATGAACTTATCCTTCTCAAGTCCTCTTCTACATCCTTTTTCTATCTGATTCTCGGTCTACCCCTCCTTCTCTTTCCACCTATTTCACGTTTCATTATCATACTAGGAATTCTTGCTTCGGCCATTCGTTCAATGTGTTCCAGCCATCTCAGTCTTTGTGCTCTTGCTACTCCCATTATACTCGGTGCCCGATATAGTTACTTTACTTCTTCATTTGTTCTTCTGGTCCATATGTTGTCATCTTCTTTCCTCCAAAAATTTTCCTCAGTATTTTTCTTTCCCAAGTCTCTAGCCTCGAACTTTCTGTTGCATTGAACGTCCACGTTTCACATGCATACAGCACTATTGGTCTTATCATTGTTTGGTACATTCTGATTTTTAAACTTCTAGAAATGTTCTTACTCTTAATAATTTTCTGTAATGCGCTGACACATCTATTTCCTGCCATTATTCTTGCCATAATTTCTTGAGTTACATTTGGATTCCTTAGAAATACTGCTCTCAGATGTGAATGTATCTACTTCCTCAAACTTGTATCGTTTACCTCTCTCAAACTTCAATTGTAGACCACTCCATAAATTTCGTTTTCTTCTCATTAAACACTAAGCCTACTTTTTGCGCTTGATGTTCTGGTCTAAAAAAAAGGTCACCGATATCAGCTCTTTCCGATCTCTTGCTAAGATGACCAAATCATCGGTAAAGGCTAAGCATTGGTGTCTTTTTGTATACAGAAGGCCCTCTCTGTTGATACCCGCGTCTTTTATAATTTTTTCTAATACTACACTAAACAGTACTGGAGATAGTGGATCCCCCTATCTTAATCCGTTCCTGATTATAAATTTTTCCGTTGTTTTCTTGTTTAGTTTAACTTCATTTATTGTCTCTTGGAGTGTCAATTTTATCATCTTGGTCAATACCAAATACTAAAGTTTATAAAAAACTTAGCTTTCTTTCTAGTTGATATAGTTATATACAGTTTCCTAAAAAATCATAAAAATAATGCTAAAAATAACAAAAATATAACACTTTAAATTTGACCAAAATTTTCTGCGTTGCGTTTTTTTTGCATCTGAGTGTAGAACACCGCATAAAGTGCTCCAAGTAAAGATGGTGTACTGTATGCATAATTTTATGCTGAATCAAATTAGGTAGGTACAGAAGAATGGGGATGCAATTAAAAAAAAATGATCATAACTTTTTAGGAGACCCTGTATACAAAATAAAATATTTTCAGGATATGAATCATTATAAATCATTCAACATCATCTATATAAAACAGGGTGGCCCATTAGCGCGTGGCCTGGTATGTAGTAATCATAGATACTATTACTACTCTGTAGCTCAGTGCTTTTGGCGGTCTCTCCATTAATTTATTTCGCTCATAGTTACCCCACTACAGGGATGTATGCTGTGCTGTCATGCAAAAGGTGAACCTGTGAGAGAAATAAATTAATGGAAAGTCATTACTTAGCAAAAAAGCATTACTTAGGAACTGACTTATAGTAATTTGGTTCCAACGATGCTTAAGTCTAAGGAGAACTGGAAAGCAGTTCATGATTATATGGAAGTGCAAAAGAAAACGAAGCTAAAAGGTCTGGGAAGTAAAATAATTTTAATATACTTACCATACTGTTCAAGTGCTCAACTTTCTTTGATGGACAGATGGTACAAGATAGAAATGTCTATAGAGAAAGTGTCTGATCAGTAAACAAAAAATGTCACTTAGCTCTTAAATATTTAGTAAAAAAGAAAAGATATACTATTTTGGTATTACGAATAATTAAAAGAAATAATTAGTCATTAAGAAGATATGACGTCCTTGATAATACATGCTTAATATGAAATAAACTAAATATAATCGTTTTAGCGTTCATTAATATAATCAACATATTCTTTCAAAACAGTCTTATCGGTTCGAATTAAAATAACTAAAATTGTTACAGGGTAATCAGTAAATCGAACAAGCCACTTCAATTAAAGGTTGTCTTTTCGTTATCTGGAAAATTCCTATTTATTAAGAACCGCAATTAAAATTTTAAACAGTCGGTTAAAAGGTTTTATCCCAAGCATTCGATCTTCGAGGGATATGAGAAATTGTACATTTCATCATACCGTTAATTTTGACAGTTTGCAGCCGTTAGGGTTAAATTTCCGTGTTGACACATCGGGAATCTTTAAGTCAACTTGTTGGATTAGCGTTTCAACGTCATGGGTGTGAATTGGAAGATGATTAAGGACCTCGGTCCTCAGATATTAGCTACCACACTTGGTATGTACAGTTAGTAGATTTCTTATGATTTAAGATCGATTACTAAATGATTGGTAAATCTAATATTAGTTATATTAAATACCCCCTGTGGTACAGTATCTTATCTTAATATATACATTTCACAAACATATGTGAAATTGTTTATTTGGGGAATTAAACTGATATTATTTATGTAGGTTATTAATACACCACAGACAATCAATCCGAAAATTAATGTATAAATGATACAGCTGCTCTCGCAATAGCGTATCTATCTATCTAGTCATATATTGAATATAATATGCAATGAAACCTCAGTTTTTTTTTAAATATCCAGTTTTTCTTAATTAATGTAGAATGAGTGAGAGGTGGCGTTAATAACTGCGACCTTATAACTGCGATATAACTGATCTATAACACATTATTCATTTTTCTGTGTTAGGGGGGACAGGGTATTTTCCATCCTCCTCTGGAACTCTCAACAGATGTTCTTCCTCTTTGGCCCGCGGTGCCCTTCACAGTCGAGGAGCTTGCCTCCGGCTGAGGTACCCGTAAGGTGGAGGCTGGAAGATCTGTCTCCATTTCTCCACCTCTTTAATTTGGTCTCTCCTTAGACCTGATACCGGTGTTGTCCCGTATCTATAATAGAGGATATATCCGTCTTTATTTATTACCACCTTAGATATGAGGTCAATTCTTATTGTGAGGTTAGGTTTGACCATTGCCCTCCTTCCTCTTCTTAATTAACACTATATATCCAACTTCTTATAGCCTAACAGTGAAGTGAGAGGTTTCCTCTTTTGTCAATTTTAGGGTGCTAATGACAGATTGACCGAATAATCTAGAATGATTGAGGCCAATCCATTTAACAGATGTTATAATTTGTTTCCTCTATTTTTGTTTTCAATTCGATAAAATATTTTCTGTTTATTTCAATACCTTTCAAGATTTGAATATGCTATTCTCTCAATATTTTCCGTTGAATTTTTATTCTATGTCTCTGATTTGTAGCGGACATCATATATTTTTTTATAAGTCCGGTTCTATAGCGTGATCCGTCTTCTGTCCATCCAGTCATTGGCTTGCGTATTTACATTGCCTTTGGCTATGCCGATGCCGTTGGGCTCCATTTCATGATATTCTTTGGTAGCCTTTCTTCTCCCATTGTGTTTACATGTCCATACCAGATTAGTTTTTTTTTGGATTTCTTCTACGATTACGATAAGTTAATCAATCTTCTTAACAATGAAGCTACTGTTTTTGATACCACTCAAGAAAAAAATAGCTCGAAAGGAAAGAATCTTGTCAAGTACTCAAAACATAATACATCACTGATAATTTTGGCATTTGAATAAATCATAGTTAATTTTTGAAAACTGCTGTAATATTTGGATTTTAATCAATTAATCAAAAAATTGACACAAAACTTATACAGGGTATTTTTTTATAGAAGTTTTAACTCCCTGAACTTATTAATTCTTCCTTCTTACAGACATATAGACAAAACAATTTTTTAAATTAAAGGGAGTTTAAGGGAAAAATTAAATAGTTTGTCTTATTCACCGTATAAAGAAAATCATATTATAAATTAATTATTTAACTCTCCTAAACCTTTAAATTCTTTACTAAATTTTACAGTATTAAGTTTTTCGTATATTGCCAGGTTTTATCTTATTAATTATTTTTGCCTCAAAGGTAAAAAGAGATAAATAAACAAAACTAATCGTTTTTAATTATATTAAAGGTATCAGTAACATATAAAAGTTAAGTTTTGTGTCTCAAATTCTAATTAATCCGATACAAAAATTAAAATATCGTTAATTTCAATTATTTGATTAGCATTTACAGTCTTTCAGCAAATTAAAGATTTAGGATCAAAGTATTTGTTTTATATTCAGTTAAGCCAAGAATTAAAAGTTAATCCTTGTTGATTTTTGTGTTTAATGGATAAACATAAATATTTATTTTCAAGCCATAATTAACGGTATTGTTTGCAAAATTTGGAAATCTAATCTTGAAAAGGCGACAATAAAAAGTATTAAAAGAACATTAAAATAAAAACAAACCATTTTAAAAAGGGGTCTGTAAAATTTTTATTATATTTGCATTTAATTTTTTACTTCTATTAATCTTCTATTTATTTTTTTATATCCTTATTATTTGGTATTAATTGTTGGTAATTTGTATTTTAATATTTTTTTTAATAAATATTATCACAAAAATAACAATATACCAAAGAGGTTGTTACGTTTTTACTACATCGAAAGACTTCGTCACATAGTAAGAGATTGTAATTCATTGTTGTTATTTACTATAAATCAAAAACAGATGAAAAAATTTGCTCTAAAACCACGGTTTATCCTTTAAGCTGTAGCAATTTAAATTATTAGCAACACATATTTAAATGTCTGTATCTACAAACACATTTTATGAAAAACACTTTATACAGAACGCTGAATTTCATGAGTACCTATATTATACCTATATAATTTCATGAGTAGCTATATTACATGAGTACATAGTATACACATACTTAGTATTTTGAGTCAAACTGTCGTTTTAATATACGACCGTGGCACTCTAGATTGAACGATAAAATACTATTATATAAAGTCAAAATGTGAAAAGTGACCGAAAATAATTGAATACGTCAGTCAGTCCTCATTTATGTCATATACTGACATACCAAATCTCGTTTTTGATCTGAAAAAATAAAAGTTGTCATATTAAGATTAAGACAAGATATTAGAGAAGACTAGCGACTCGACTGATGCTAATGTGACGTACAATATTTTGTAAAATAATTTGTGTAACTGAATGTATTAATTTATTGTTTATGAGTATATCTGCAATGTTAATACAAGAAGAAAACCTTTATTTTTTTAATATAGTCTACAGCGTATTACACTAATACAACTTCACTTCGAGATGAAATTAAAAACCATGAGTGGTTCCAGAATATCTTCGACAAATACAGGGTGATACAAATACCAGGTACGAGCATTGGTATCTCGGAAACCCTAAGAGATACGAAGAAAGTTAAGTTGGGGCAAAGTTGCGCTTTAGGATGTTCACCAAGATACCATCAAAAAAGTTTTAAAAATTTCAAGGATTGCTGAGTTTTTTGGAAAAAAACGGATTTTTTTGAAAATCAATTTTATTTTTTCCTGGCGTTACTTTTTAGAAAATCAAAAAACTAATTGCACATTCTCATAGCTACTTTATTAGGGCTATCTGATTTTATATTTTCAAATTAGCTGATAATTTGTGAGATACAGAGGCCAACTTAATTTTTTTAAATACGGACCTGCATTTTTTATTTGAAGTTTTGAAAGAACTCGGTCTCCTGAATACAATGATATACCACACTTGATACTTTTTTTTCTGTTTTAGGTAGTAAGAATAACAAAACTATTTCATTATTATTTAAAATAATAAGGAAAATCTAGCCAACTGAAAGATCCAGGTCAGCAATTTGAAAATATTATTTTTAACTTTTTTTATTGTGAATTTGAAATCTCCGTGTACGATCTAATAATATGCATAATATTAATCGTAGTTATTATAAATAAATCAACTTCTACAAACTAGTTTCCAATGCTCTACAGGTTCGAAAGGGTTATCACCGTCCCTAATGCACAAAAATGTATTTTTCGTTCAATCTGATTTATAGCTCTTTGAACATATCTTTTTCTTATATTTCCGAATGCATTCTGTGCCCCTTATTGTAAATGTTGAAATGTATTGATATCACTTTTAAAAATGACGTCAAGTAATGCCCAATAATTTTATATTATTTTATTGCATTTGATTTTCCGTATTCAATGTTGTACCCCACGTCATTGTTAAGTTTAAAAGCTTATCAATATTGTAACGATGAATAGATTAAATATTAAAAAAACAGAGTCGGTCTTGAAATTAGTTTAATTAAATTGTGTTCAAATGTCCGAAACAAAAAAAAATATTAAGTGTGGCATATCATTGTACTCAGGAGACTTCTTTCAAAATCTGAAATAAAAAACGCAGGTCCGTATTTAAAAAAATGAAGTTGGCCTCTGTATCCCACAAATTATCAGATAATTTAAAAATCTAAAATTGCTATCAGTTAGCCCTAATAAAGTGGCTATGAGAATGTGCAATTAGTTTTTTGATTTTCTTAAAAGTAACGACAGGAAAAAATAAAACTGATTTTCAAAAAAATCCGTTTTTCCCAAAAAACTCAGCAATCCTTGAAATTTTCAAAACTTTTTTGATGGCATCTTGGTGAACATCCCAAGGCGCAACTTTGCCCCAATTTAACCATCTTCGTATCTCTTACGGTTTCCGAGATACCAATGCTCGTACCTCGAATTTGTAGCACCCTGTATATAAAAACATTTTCTAGAAATTGTCCTTTTTAATAAACGATACAAACAGGAAATGTTACACATACTTCAGACGTATAGAAACCGTTTCGTGATAAACAAAATTCTAACATGAATATTTCATTTTTAATTAGATAAGTGACACTTATTAATTTTTATCATATCTCATTTCAGGTACACTGATCGCTGTTTCCGATGGCATGGCTTACGGTTGGACGTCACCAATGATACCTTATTTCGAGAGTAACAAAAGCCACATTGCTATAACAGAAGCCGATGCAGAATGGTTTGAAAATATAAATTTGATAGGCGCGATATCAGGATTACCTTTCACTATATTTGCTGTGGATTACTTTGGAAGAAAGCCCTCATTGTTACTATCTGCAGTTACTGGCTGCATTTGCTGGCTTGTACTGCTCTTAACAACAAATGTAAAGGTTATATACGTCGCCAGATTCTTCTTCGGCATGGCTGGCGACATGTGTGGAGTTGCCGCTCCAATGTACGTAGCCGAAATAGCTGACCATAACATCAGGGGCTTTCTAGCCTCACTTATTTATTTGCAAATGCTGATTGGAATCTTATTGGTGTACTGCACTGGTGCCTTGGCACCATATTTCGTCACATCCGTTGTAGGAATAATCATAACCGCGTCACAGTGTGTAACATTCCCCTTCATGCCAGAATCTCCTTATTATTACGTGACTAGAAACCGACATAAAGACGCGAGAAAAGCTTTAAAGCGAATCAGATCTGACAAAGAAAGTATAGATAAGGAAATTGAGGAGATCGAAGAAGAAATAGCGAGAGAGAAACTAGAAAAAGGCAGACCTCAGGACTTAGTTTTAGTTCCCAGTAATAGACTGGCGATGATAATAATGCTGGTACTAAACGGTGGCCAACACTTCGTTGGTATTAGCGTGATGATGATGAACGTTCAAAAGATCTTGACTGAAGCTGGATCAGTATACATGGACTCGACCACGTCAGCTATACTATTTGCAGTGATGATGTTGGCTAGTTGCTCGGTAGCCTCAGTTTTTATCGATAGATTCGGAAGAAAAATTTTATTAATATTATCAGGCGTCCTAACAGGCATTGCGTTATTAGCAATATCAATCTATTTCCATCTAAAATACTTGAACTATAACGTGCTTCCTATAAGTTGGTTACCAGCAGCCTGCGTTATGATATACGCAGCTTCATTTAAAGTGGGTTTAGGTCTAGTACCTATTGTCATTACAGCGGAAATATTCCCCACAAATGTCAAAGCAATGGGAATGACATTGGCAGATGTAATTTATGTGGTAGCTGCGTCAGCATCAATCAATTTGTATAATCTTTTATATAACAGCTTCGGTATACACGTGCCTTTTTACGTGTTTAGTGCAGTCAGTTTTTTGATTGCTGTATATACGTATTTTTGGATACCGGAAACAAAAGGGAAGACTTTGGATGAAATTCAGTTCTTATTGAAAAGAAAAACGCACATGACCGAGAAAGAAAAAAACATACCGATCGATGTTATTACATGAAACACTTGAATTGAATGATAAAATATTTTTAATGTAAAAAGAAAAGAATAAGGAATAATTAAGTTTATCTTTAAATTTTTTTTAATATCGAAAATGTACAGCGTGTTTCAAAACAAATACGAAAAACTCAACAAGGATAAAAAATAAAAGTATTATTTTCCCGACATATTTGTTCCGCAATAACTTCTTAAGAGTTGCCTTTGTTCCAATGTTTATACAGGGTGAGTTTAATGCAAATATTTTTAGTAGTATATTTCGACCCCTGAAATACATCCATGACGTTTTTTTCTCGAAAAAAAATGAGTATTTCAAATTTTTAGATAGAAAAATTGAAATTATATAAAGAAAAATTAAAAAAAATAATTTTCTTATCACCATTGATCACCGTACTATCAAATTTTGTTTTTTTTTACTTTTTAGCTATAAAACATGTCATGATATGACAACATAGGTTGCAAATTCAATCCAGAAGAACAAAGCCCCAGAAATGTCTAGTGCTTCTCAAAATTTAAGTAAAATATTAGATTTTTTCCAAATTTCAAAATAAAATAATTTGGTTATTTTCAACTTATTTGAAAAACGGCAAAGGGAAAATATGTTTTTCTTATCCATATCTACCGGTTCTGAAAATATTTGCACTTATTTAAGGCTGACTAACTAATTATTTCCAATGTGAATATTTAACTAACTTATTTTTTACCAACTGTCACCCTTTAATGTTTTTAGCATTTGTTTGTTTAATAATAAATTTAAATTAACTGTTTTAATATAAATGAAAAAATTTGGTATATACAAGGTGAGTCGTAAATAAGTGTAAATATTATTAGGAGTGGTATATTTCGAAACCAGAAAACATATGAGGATTTTTCTTGCGAATTTTTTTTAGTAGTAGATTAAATTTTCAAGAAAGAAAATCCAGAAAACATCCACGGTTCGCAAAATATAAGAGAAAAATCTATTTTTTGGAAATTTTCAAAATAAAATATCTGGGTTATTTTGGATTTATTTGAGCCCTGAAAATATTTGCACTTATTTTATTTAAGACTCACCTTGTATACATGTAATAAAAAATAATAGTATGTAGTTTACTTAAATGTATACATATTTTTTTATTTATTTTTTATAATGCAAGTATTATTACGTTTAATTTCTAAGCTAAAATTAAAAATTATGTTTTGAAATATATCACCCAAACTTTTTATCTTTGAATGAAATATGGCATTTCGATTAACAATTTTATTTTACATATTTTATATTTAAGGATTTGACATATATACATTGATCTAAATAGACTGAATTTTACAAGCTGTATTGTAGTTCCATAAGTAGCACTTATTTGATGGTATTAGTAGGATTTTAAAAGGTTTGCAAACGTATAAAAAATAACGATTTTGTTCCAAAATTTCTCTCTTTGTCACACATCAGAAGCGATGAAAACAAGTCTGACCCATATATTTATTACAAAATATCTTTTGTTTAAAAAAGATACCATGTCTCGTTATTTTTAAAATAATTTTATTCTTGTAATTATTTAAATAACACATTTTAATATTTGCAGCTAATAAAATATTGAGATAAACCCTAATTATTGTTTTACTCCATGTATGATACCCTTGATTATGTATAAATAGATATACAATGAGGGCTTAGTAAAATCCTATCTTCTAGATGGCGCCTTGCCCGTTTTGCATTTTTGTATTCCCCTACGATTTCAAAAATGGAAGGGCGCGAGGTCACATCTATTGGGCTACTTATTAGCACGTTTCACGCATGTTTTACGAAAATAGCTTTATCCTTGTTTGTTTCAACTGTGACAAGAAAAAAGGAAAAAAACTCATATTCGTTTCTAAATTCGGCAGTTTTGTTTATCTTTCTCGACTTCTGATTTCGTTTCGTTTAGGTTATGTCTTAAAAAATAATTATTTATAAGCTTTTGAGTTGAAATATACCTTAATGCATATCTAAATAATTAAAAAAATCAATTTTTTCGTCCCTCACGAAGAAACGAAACAGTATTTTTGAATATTTGGATTACAAACTATTATTTTATGAGTTCTATGTGTTGTGTTTACGTGATGTGTAATGTGTATTTTGTACCTGCTGGATAATATTTTGAAACATATTTAATTAAACAAAAAGCATCTGTATTACAGGTGAGTAAATACTGTTCATATTTATTTCTAAATTCATATAAATTTGTTTTAAATCACTCTTGGTTTTTAGAGTTTTTATCTTAGAGTTTTACCTCATCTGAGAGATAAGTTTAATAATAAACATTCAATTTGATAGATTGATAGATAGATTAAACGATAATGGCCAGTTGACTTAAAAATTTAAAAAAATACTGATTTTATGCTATAAATTATGTTTCATTTCTTACTTTGCTTTTTTGGAACTGTCAGATATATTGTGTATTTTATAATTTTTCTTAATTAATAACTTAAAATATTGTTTATCTACAGTCAACCCTGTGTTTAGATAAAGCTTCATATCAGATTTCCTATTTTATATTTTCACTCAAATCATATTTTTGTAAAATAGGTATGCTTGCATGCAAAAGTAGCGTAAATTTAACAGGGAGGTATTTTTATAGATATACAGGATGATTCATAGATTTAAATACATATTTACTTTAGAGTTGTATAGTTTGTCAAAAGAAAGGCTATATTTTTTATTTTTTCTTGGTGAATTTGTCAAAAAATTGTCATTCCAGAAAATACTATAATGTAGGGGTCCCAACTTGAGCATCGGCGCGGCGATTCCGGGACAATTATTTTTAAGTTTTTAAATAATTGAAACAAAACATTAAATATTAGAAATTCAAATATATTATACCTATGTAAATGTGATTTTATTGGTCCCGGCCAAGGCAAAATTTTCGCCGGGACAAACTTTCTGATTCCTACTATAATGTCGTAATCGTATAGAGTTCATTTTGACCATTTTTGGATTAAATAATAAAATTTTTTGTTTATATAATAAAATATATATTTAAAGCCCTTTCTAAGTTAAAAATAAGTAATATGGAAGTTTTTTACTGGAACTAATTTAAGGTAATGTTATCTTCATATAATTATATAAAAATATGCTAAATTCCTAAATTATTTATATGATTAAATTTTCTTTATATTATTTTTTTTTTGTATTATATACAGGATGAGTCAAAACTAGATATTATATTTTTCTTTGCTATTTCAAATGGAACACTTTATTTTATATCATAAATCAACAAATCTTTTATCCAACTTTTGTTTTGTTAAGATCTATATCCTAAATTAATAGTTATTGAATTGTTCTCAATAATTGTCTCTTTGAGAATAAACATGATTTGTTTTTCGCAATTTTTATTAGTAGGTTTGTCGTTAAAAGTGATGTATCTACATATTTATCAGCGACAAAAATTAAGAATTAGATGTCTAAAATAATTTCCTAATTATTTTTTTACTTAGCGTATCAGTAAATATTATTTATTTTATCGCTGCAGCTGAAAATAATTATGTATTCCAAAAGAGGACATTACTGTATAAATATCGATTATTTGGATTTAAAAATTATTTTTCAAAACAAAGTTGGAAAAAACTACGTTTATGTCATAAAATGTGGAGTTCTCTTTGAAATAATCGAGAAAAACCCAACATCTAGTTTTGACGCCACCAGTATATATCATGCATTATAGTTCATTATACTGCAATTTATTATACATACGTAGTTTTGTTTGGTGAAAATGAAACTTTCTAAAAGTATTCCCAATTAAAACATATTAAGAATTTCCTACATTATAATTTTGAAAGACGTTTGAGTGGGCAGACAATTTGGTCTAAAATAATCATATGTCTAAAAAATTTAGTCTAAAATAATCAAAAACCACTTAACACATATAACTCGCTTTTAAAAAATCTAAAAGAAATAAGTTTGTTTATTATATTCATATTTTATTAAATTATTATAGGTGTGACTGCTAAGTGGTCGTACTCGCCACTTTAACCAACCATTGGTGGGACCATGGTAGGACCTTCAGAGATTATATGCGAATTTTTCATACCATGTAAATCTATATACATATATTAATAAATGCGTTTGTTTTATTAAATTTGTTTTCTTATACGGTATGAGCGAAAAAAACGGCGTCTATTTGTTTACGTACAAATATATGACATCGATATTCATTTCCAAGCCACCTCTGACGCCGTTTTTTTTATCGTATGGTATACACTTACATATATCCCTTATCCTTTAAATCCGATTTATTTCTAATAATTATAAAAATAAGATACCTGATTGATTCTTCCGAAATATTATAAAATGAGATATCAGGAAGTAAATAAAGTTAATTATCTCGCTTGTTTTGGGAATTCAAAAAAAGGGTATAGAGAATCTTAAGAGACACAGTTCAAATATTATTTTTGAGTATAATGGGTGCTTCAAAAAATGTGGGGGATATAATGTAACATGTTTTTTAATGCAAAACTCTTATTTATAACTTTTATTTTATTTTCGATTCTGCCTAAAATTCTATAACTTTTTTTTTATAAAAAACGTTAGTATTTGCAAAATAAAATTATTCCTATGTTACATAATTGTCAGTTGTTTCCAAAGTTGGGCTACACAAATTTGATAGGAGTGTTTTACAGAGGTGAAGAAAAAGATATATGTAAAAATACTTGGAGTTAGATGCTACACTGTGTTCAAACAGTTTTTTTTTGGCTGATCCTATATATTATTATTTTTTCTAGTGATTTTACAAAACCTTTCAACATTTGCTAAGAAAGTATATTAAGTACATCTATACTCTATACAGCTTGCAATCTGTTCTGAATTTTTCAATTTTTATCCTTCTTTTACTTCATTTACACTATAACAAGTTTTGCCATGACAAAACAAAAATTATTTATTATTAAGCATTAAAGTAATTTATATAGTTATATGACATTATTAATAGAAATTGAAGAATTTTGTAAAATCTATCAGAAAAAAATATAATATACCGGGTGTTTTTCAAAAGTGGCTTGATTGACGTACCTACATTTCCGGTGAAACAGGAAGTGACCGAAACTAACGGAATACGAATCAATTTCGATTTATGTCATATACCTACTAACATTCCGAATTTGGTAAACCCCAAATTTAATTTTTTTATCTGAAAAAATAAAAAAAAGTTATAGAGGTGAACCGCTTTTGAAAAAACACTCAGTATAGGCTGCGTCATTGAAAGAATCTGCAGATATTTTTCTATTTTAAATACGTAGTCGAATTTCAAAAATATATATTGAACACCCTGTATCATCTACCTTAAATATCTACATATAAATATCTAATATTTTTTCTTCATCAACAAATTGAAATATTATAAAACTAATTTTAGCTTATACCATTATACAAGAAATATACTTAAAAAAAGTAATAGAATTTTACGCAGAATCTAAAATAAAATAGGATATTACATTTAAAAAAAAACATTATGTTAAATCCGCCACACTTTTTACAAAGGTACAGACGTTAGGTAGGTATAGTTTCATATTATATTCTTTAATTATCCATCTAAAAAATAAAATATTTATATACCTAATATCATACTTTAGTATCCAACAAGTGGCCATGAAAATCAAAATAAATATAAATCCATGTCCAAAAATAAAAAATGTAAATAACGCTTTGAGTTATAAATTCGGTTCGAATCAGATAAGATATTTTATTCTTTACCGAGAATTAAATTCGAGGAATTCCTAGTCCCTACTTCTTTGCCAAATTCAATAGTCTCCGCCCCTTTTTACGTTTTAATTTCTGCCACCAGTTGGCAGCATCGACTTATACAGGCACATTGACATGAAAATAGTTAATCTCCCTGTTCAAGAGCCCGAAACTAGCACTGCTCGTTTACGCCAGGTAGGGATGTAAACAATAAATCGGTGTTTCTGAACTGTGTTTCTGAAGCATCGATATTTCAACAGCAAAATATCGATGTTTACTGTCGATGTTCTATTCTTATTATATGTTCTATTCTTATTATAAACTATCGATGTAGAAAAATGTAGAATGAGTGGAAGTGGGTTAATTATCGCAACTTTAAAGATCTATTATGTTACTGGCTGCATTTGCTGGCTTCTACTGCTCTTGACAACTAATGTAAAACTACGTCGCTAGACTCTTCTTTGGCATTGTCGGTGACATGTGCGTTGCCGCTCCTATGTATGTAGCCGAAATACCTGACCATAACATCAGAGGCTTCCTTGTCTCTCTCATTTATTTACAAATGCTGATTGGAATCTTATTGGTGTACTGTACTGGTGCCTTGGCACTATATTTTGTAACATTCGTTGTAGGAATAGCCATAATCACATTCCCATTCATGAAGGCGCGTGGCGAACGCCCCGGCGGACACCGCGGGGCGTGGGAGCCCCGTGTAAATTGGTGGCCCCCGCACCTCATAAACCGAAAACTAAAATTACATTTAGGCACACAATCCTTCTTTCAGCAATAATTAGGCTGATATAAAACAATTATTTTACACTACATTATTCTCTGCAGGTATAATAATAACAATTATTGTACGGGTAAATTTGGAATTTGGTTTAGTTGTAAATATGTTTAGGCGACACAACACACGGCGATTATCATGTTTTTACGGCGTTTTTGATTAAAAGTATCATACCGGTAGACTTTTTCCATAAGCACACTTATTTTAAATTACTCTGTGCATCAATATTAGCGAGATAAGAATTTTTTTGACACGGTTCATAGTCTTTATATACTTTTCAGTGAAAGTCTACCCCGTTGGCAGAGCCTAAACTGCGAAATAAAAAATAGTAAAACTGTTGGTTTAACTTTAAAAAAATTATGTCCAACTAGATGGTCGTCAAGAGCCGAAAGCATACTATGGATAAAAACTAATTTTTTGTCCGTCGTCAAGTTTTTATCGAATTTAACGTTTATACTGAAAAAACGTACTGATAGAGATGAGGCCAAGATGCTACAAGATAAAATAGAAAATGTCGAATTTATTTTCTTAACTAACTAAATTTCCAAGGTACAATATTGAAAAAACTACTTGCTTTCAAAATGCTTACAAAAAAATGATATTGACATAGGACTGGCACAGATCTAATCAGGAGTTCTTGTTAAAATATAAAATCTTAGGGACAATTTTGAAAGTGTGTATGAGCTATCAATTTCAATTGCGAAATCTTGGAATATTGAACCTCAGTTCACAGTATCAGAGAGTTTTCTGATTTTATTTTTGAATAAACCCAATTACTGATTAGCAGTATATCTGAGATTTGCACTGTATTCCAGTTGTTTCTGGTTCTCCCTGTAACGTCCGCTGAACCAGAAAGAACTTTTTCTGAGCTGAAAATAATAAAAGGTTTTACGAGGTCTACTATGTCCCAAAATCGCCTAAGCTCACTGGCCATAATGTCATTTGAGAATGATCGAGTAAAAGAGGTAGATTTGGACAGCCTCGTAAACAAGTTCCTTTTGTTAAGGTCGAGGAAAAAGGAATAGACTTTCTAATATACTATAGGGTACATCATAAATATTTAAAATTTCTTGTTCACATTTGTGTTCTAGTTATTAGTAGTTAAATGTTGAGTGGTTTTTTTTTTAATAAAACTAAAATTAATTATTATTTTAAGAGTACTATAATAATAAACAAATAAATGTTGAAACAATTATCAAAATATAAAATAAATATCACATTGTGGCTCTTGTTAAAAAATATGTTTCAAGCAGATATCACTATAATGATGTATTTGAAGGAATTTTTGAATATACTTAGGGGGGGGCCCTAACAAAAGTTTGCGGGAAGGCCCCGCGAGAATTTGCCACGCTACTGCGTTCATGCCAGAATCTCCTTATTATTACGTGACTAGAAACCGACATAAAGATGCAAGAAAAACTTTAAAACGAATGAGACCTGACAAAGAGAATATAAATAAGGAAATTGAGGAGATCGAAGAAGAAATAGCGAGAGAGAAACTAGAAAAAGGCAGACCTCAGGACTTAGTTTTAGTTCCCAGTAATAGACTGGCGATGATAATAATGCTGGTACTAAACGGTGGCCAAAACTTCGTTGGTATATTAGCGTGATGATGATGAACGTTCAAAAGATCTTGACTGAAGCTGGATCAGTATACATGGACTCGACCACGTCAGCTATACTATTTGCAGTGATGATGTTGGCTAGTTGCTCGGTAGCCTCAATTTTTATCGATAGATTCGGAAGAAAAGTTTTATTAATATTATCAGGCGTCCTAACAGGCATTGCGTTATTAGCAATATCAATTTATTTTCATCTAAAATACTTGAACTATGACGTGCTTCCTATAAGTTGGTTACCAGCAGCCTGCGTTATGATATACGCAGCTATATTTGAGAGGCTGATAGCAAAAGTGGGTTAAAATTTTACTCTCGGCAAAAACGGTTTGCGTTTTTCAGAGGGCAAAAGCGGTTTAAGTAGCAATGAGAGCAAAAATGAGAGAAAGAAACTTTACCGTAAAAATGGGTTATAATTATATGCCACTTTTACTCTAAGATTAAAAATATTCCTTTTTGTCCGAGAAAAAAATCGTTAATTTACTATTAGATAAAAAAAATCTGTTTGCGTATTTGCCAGTCAGTTTATTCATGTTCCTCTAGTTTTCTATACAAAAATAACATTTGCACCATATGCAACAAGTAGTGTAAAATCAACTTTTTATAAGCTTTTATAACTAACTTTGTATGTATGTTTGTTCGGGGCAAATCTTGTAAGCTAAATTAGAACCACTTCCTTTGATTGTGGAAATTATACATTTTTTACAAGGCATGACCAGAATTTTTGACAGCTGTTAAAATGGCGGCCAAAATGGCGCCATTTTGAGGTTTTGATTTTTAAAATTCTATTATAAAAAAATTTATTATAATATAGGTATATTGTGGGTATATACATATGAAAAAAAAATATGTGGGCGGCTATCTTGAAAAAATGACAGTTTAATGACATGTCAAAATTTCGAAGTGAACCGATTTATATATATATATATATATATATATATATATATATATATATATATATATATATATATATATATATATATAGGATGGCCATGGGCTAAAATGAAAGAAGAAAAAATTCAGCTGTCAAAATTGACAGCTGTCCAAAGCTAATTTCAAAGTTGTCCGATTTTGATAAAATCGATATATTGGATGCCCCCTACCCCATAGTCGGTTTTCGTTTTATTTGTCTCACATTTGAACTGTCAAATTTGACAGCTGTCGTTTTTTTTTAAGTTCTCCTTTGTTAATGAAAATCGATATACATATTATTAGGATGCCCATAGAAAGTTATTTAAGAAAAACCAGCATAACTAAAAAGTAAAAATAAATTTTAAGAAAAAGAACTTTTTAAAAACAAGCTTTTATTTAAATACAAAAAAAAAAAAACTTTTTCTTTAAAATTTTTATTATGAACTTTATAACGTCATTACATAATTTTAATATTATATTAAATCTTGTCGCGAGATTTGAGTGTACAGTTGCACTCATAAAAATCTGGTACGACAACTTTACTTTAAGTATATACAATATACATGACAATCTAAAACCTGTGTCTACCCTGTCTCATTTTGAAAGTTTGTCTTATGATACACCACTAGAAAAGGAATTACAAGATAAAGTTGTCGTACAACTGTACACTCAAATCTCGCTACAAGCTTTTATATAATATAAAATTATGTAATGACGTTATAAAAGTTCATAATAAAAATTTTAAAAGAATTTTTTTCTTTTTAGTGTATTTAAATTGCTAAGGGCATAAATCAGTTCTATGAATTGATTTTTACAACGTTGTAGCTGGGGGGGGGGTTAAGGGTGGGGGGCGTTGTGACTCCGCCCCATAAAAAGTATAAAATATTATATTCTTCCGTATTACACGTCGGACACAATCAATGCAAATACGTATGTGGTCCCAGTCCGCATTTTCTTTTCGAAAAATCGCATAAAAAAGGGGAGTAATTTAATTTTTCTATGAAATATATTTTTCTTCAAATGGCATCGGCGGCGGCGGTCCGTGTGTGATATCAAAGCGCGTGCCGAAGTCAAAAGGTGCCGACCAGATATAAACTAAACAAGTTATATTCGGAAGTGCACATCAAGACAATGGAAATAATTTTTGTATAATTATATTCTTCACTTTTGAAAATTTCCGAGCCGTTAGGCTTTTATATTTTCCTATAACTAAAATACTGTGTTATGTAATATCAAACTCATTATCTTATAGGTATAAAAATGTGTGTGAAACACAAAAAAATTATATAAACAGCAGTACAGCAGTGTGAAGCAAAAAAATATAAATAATTACTATATCAATAGGTATATACCGTATGATAAAAAAAACGGCATCCAGTTGGCTTGGAAATAAACATCAATGACATTCCCCATATAATTTTACATATAAAATGACAGCGAACTTCATTTCATAGTCATCGCTGACGCCGTTCTTTTTCGGTCATATTGTATCTTTTAAAAGATTTAAATCTTTTTTAAAATAACTTAAGTCGTTAAAAAAAGATTTAAGTATTTTAAGTCATCTTTCGAAATAAATGAAATGACTTAAGTCATTTGATTTATCGACTTAAAATCAAATGACTTAAGTCACTAAAATGATTTAAGTCAAAAAAGACTTAAGTTTTCTGTGAGCTTGCAGCTCTGCTAGAGATGCTTTGCCATACTGAACAACACCATAGACAAAGAAAGATAAACAACACACTAAAATAGGTGCAAAAACACGAAATAAAATTTAGTATGAAGTGCAGTTTTACACGGAGCGGAGCATTCGCTCAAACCGTCCGCGCTGATCGTCCCTGTTGTGCCGTTTCACATGGAGCGGGCCGTCCGGCTTCCGCGCGGACCGTCCGTTTATTGAAGAGGTACTATGAGCTTGTATGAGTATTTTGACATGGGCGCGGATGGTCCGCCCGTATGATTTCGTCCAACAGCCATCCGTCGATCCCTTGCTTCGACGGATCATCCGCGCCTATGTGAAAGTATTCATACATTCAATACTCATGGTACTTGTTCAACCAATGGGCGATCTACAGGTGAAAGTACTCCGTCAATTCTTAAAAATACACACAATGGTCCACGATGGTCCGCACGTCCGCTCCATGTGAAACAGCACTCAATACTCAATAGTATTATAAAAAACGTCCCTTCGATAGTACATAAATACGGCAGCGCGCAGAGGTAAAAAGAACCATTTTCTTATCGTCTATCGAATCTACGTATTATTTTCTTAGCGCAAAAACGGGTTAATATTTTATAGCTTTTTTGCCCTGAATATTTTGTCGAACCATTTTTGCGCTGATTAATATTCGATTCACTTTTGCCCAAAGTTGTGATGTATATGCTATTTTTGATCTTAGAGAAAATTTAAACCCACTTTTGCTTTGAACAAAATTTTATCCCACTCTTACTTTCGACCTCTCATTTAAAGTAGGTTTAGGTCTAGTACCTATTGTCATTACAGCGGAAATATTCCCCACAAATGTCAAAGCAATGGGAATGACATTGGCAGATGTAATTTATGTGGTAGCTGCGTCGGCATCAATCAATTTGTATAATTTTTTATATAACAGCTTCGGTATACAGATGCCTTTTTACGTGTTTAGTGCAGTCAGTTTTTTCCGGAAACAAAAGGGAAGACTTTGGATGAAATTCAGTACTTATTGAAAAGAAAAACGCACATGACCGAGAAAGAAAAAAACAACCAATCGATGTTATTACATGAAACACTTGAATTGAATGATAAAATATTTTTAATGTAAAAAGAAAAGAAAAAGGAACAATTAAGTTTATCTTTATTTTTTTTTAATATAGAAAATGTACTACTTTCCTGACATATTTGTTCCGCAATATCTTCTTCTTAAGAGTTGCGTTTGTTCCAATGCTTATACAGGGTGAGTTTAATTCAAATATTTTTAGTAGTAGTATATTTCGACCCCTGAAATACATCCATGAGGTTTTTGGCTCGAAAAAAAATTGAATATTTTAAATTTTTAGGTAGAAAAATTGAAATTATATAAAGAAAGATTGAAAAAAAATAATTTTCTTACCACCCTTTATCACCGTAGGTACTATCAAATTTTGATATTTTTTACTTTTTAGCTAAAAAAAACACCTCATAATATGACAACGTAGGTTGTAGAGTAAATCTAGAAGAACGAAACCCTAGAAATATCTAGTTGTTCTCAAAATTTACGTAAAATATATATTTTTTTAATTTTCAAAGTAAAATACTTCGATTATTTTCGACTTGTTTGAAACAAGGCAAAGGGAAAATATCTTTTCTATTATCCAGATCTACCAGCCCTGAAAATATTTGCACTTACTTAAGGCTCATCCTTGTATAAATAACTAGTTCCAATGTGAATATTTAACTAACTTTAGTTTTACTAACTGTCCCTTTAATGTTTTTAGCATTTTTGTTTGCTTAATAATAAATTTTAATTAACTGTTTAGATAATTGAAAAAAATTGGTATATACAGGGTGAGTTTTAAATAAGTGCAAATATTTTTATGGGTAGTATATTTCGACCTCAGAAACACGTCTATGAGGTTTTTTTTCACAAAATTTGGAATTTTAAAAAAATGGAAATGTTTTTAATTTTTTACTTAAAAACCCAATATCTTCATAATATGGCAATATAATATGTAGTAGATTAAATGTACAAGAAAGAAAATCCAGAAAAGATCCAGTGGTTTTCATCAAAATGTAAGCCAAAAATCTATTTTTTTTTGAAATCTTCAAAGTAAAATACCTCGGTTATTTTGGATATATTTAATAAACTGTAAAGAAAAAAATGTTTCTTTTATTGAAATCTACCAGCCCTGAAAATATTTGCACTTATTGACCACCCTTTATACATATAATAAAAAATACTAGTACATTATGTACTTTACTTAAATGTATAATATGTATATATTTCTTAATTTAAAATTGTATTTATTTTTTTTATAGTGCAAGTATTATTACGTTTAATTACTAGCTAAAATTAAAAATTATGTTTTGAAGAATATCACCCAACGTTTTTATCTTTGAATGAAATATGGCTATTTCTAGCAAAAATTTTATTTTACATGTTTTATATTTAAGGCTTTGCCATACAGATATTGATATAAATAGACTGAATTTTACAAGCTGTATTGTAGTTCGATAAGTAAATAGCACTTATTTGATGATATTGAGTAGGAATTTAAAAGGTTTTGAAAATGTATCAAAAATTACGGCTTTGTACCAAAATCTCTCTCTTTGTCAAATATCAGAAATAATAAAAACAAGTCTGGTCCAGATCTTTATTGCGAAATATCCTTTGTTTCAAAAAGATACCATGTCTCGTAATTTTTAACATAATTTTATTCTTGTAATTATTTAAATAATACATTTTAATGTTCCCAACTAATAAAATATTGAAATAAATCGAAATTATTGTTTTAATCCATATATGATACTGAAAATAGTTAATCTCCCTGTTCAAGAGCCCGAAGCTAGAGCTGCTCATTGACGCTAGGTAGGGATGTAAACAATAAATCGGTATTTCTGAAGCATCGATATTTCAACAGCAAAATATCGATGTTTACTGTCGATGTTCTATTATTATAAACTGTCGATGTAGAAAAATGTAGAATAAGTGGAAGTGGGGTTAATCACAGCGACCTTAAAGATCTAGTGTGTTACTGGCTGCATTGGCTGGCTTGTACTGCTCTTTAGAACTAACGTAAAAGTCATATTATGAAATACGTCGCTAAATTCTTTTTTGGCATGGCTAGCGACATGTGTGGAATTGCCCCTCCTATGTACCTATGTAACCAAAATAGCTGATCACAACATCAGGGGATTCCTTGCCTCTCTTATTTATCTTCTAATATTGATTGGAATCATAGATTTAGTAAGAACAGATATCACATTGTGCATTTTAACCCGACCAAACAACCGGAGGTTGACTACGTACTGTAAAAACCAACTGAAATAGAGAAGGCGACATTGCCACATCTCAAATTTGCGCCTATCTACTTAGTTTGATTTGCAGAAAAGGTGACTTTAAAACCTTCACCGGATATCAATAAACCTCAATTTCTTAATTAAATTAATAGTTTATCTTTAAAGAAGCATGCGTAATAATATTTATTAACCAGAGGATCTATGCGTTACTATTAAAGGACATGTTTACTGTTTAATGTGCTGAAACGTCTAGAACTATTGGCAACGTCGCTGCTAGTCTTCCAGAATGAAATGAGCCGTTCGTCCCACCACCCCTCACGACGGCCCTTGGTCCGTTATAGCGTACTACGTTTAGCTTACGGTGTGTTTCAAGTCGGAATCAAGGCCGAAGTGAAATTTTCAGTGGTTTTCAGTAGTTTCTGTTTTTGTTTAACGTACTTTTGAATCTGTGAATTTTCAATATGGTAGGACAGTGTCAAATGTGTGGAAAAATAAGCTCAAATTACCCGAATTTGTCTTTTCACAGGTAGGTATTGTTTCCGCCGTAATCGTACATAGGCGTCCCACAAGGGAGTCTCTCAAAATTAAAATAATTTCTAATTATATTTGTTGAATTTTGATCTATTAAAACAAGAACGTAGTAGCCGGTAATTGAATTATAATTCGTCTCAATTACTACCTTAATGTTGTAGATCATAACAAATTTGAATATAAACGTTGCATTTGAAACTTTATTATATGCCAGAAAGTGACATTTTTTTTAAATTGCGTCATATTTTGGTCATTATATACGATATTCTAAAGGAATTTTGCCCAACAAATAAACAAAGGTGTTTACCCGACCTTTTTTATATGTTATTGCTTAATTATATCTTGTATCTGCCCCTTCGGTCTTGTTTAGACAAGTTTTTACCACCGTACAATACAAATACCTCTTCCTAGAGTTATTTGTACGGTGTATTTACCTTTTTTTAGAATGGGACGAACTATAAATAATTCTTAGGCTACTAGTTTTATACATACCTATATAACAGAGTGACCCAGGCCTCCAAAAAAGCTTTTTACCTATTACATTCTTTGCTATTACGTTTTTGGTTTGTGATTTTTATTTCAATCTTTACATAAGATCGGGGCCATTGTGACGCACATTTTCAAAATATTTTTGTCAACATACAGGGTGATTCAAACCGCAATACATATGCTTAATACAGTTCATGAAGATTGGGACGTTTAACTAAAATCTGATTGTCTGATTAAGCTACCTAAGTAATGGATTTGTAAAAATAAACGTAAGTATAAACGTAATATTCATTATTATGCGACAGAAATCCCATACTGTAGCACACAGATTTGATACCTTTAATGATAAATGCCCTCTATTGAGAGACTAAAAGGATTAAAATAAATATTGATTTTAGGTATAGGAAGTTATTAATAATACAAGATTAAACAACTATTACACAGTACTTCACATGAAGCTATCGATTGCGAACTAACTAAATCGTTACTAATTACTAATTTTGAAAAGTTCTTTTTAAGATCAAAAAAGGTAAAACTAAAACCTAAACTATCATTTGAGATTAAACGGGAAATTCTAAATACTGTTGCCTATTCTAAACAAGAAAAAATTATTTATAAGTTTTATGACATCTCTAATTAAATTTGGAAGAAAAGAATATTTCTGTTTGCTGTAGGTAATTTTCTCAGAGATTAAACGGGAAGTTCTAAGTTCTCTTCTTCTCTCAGGGAAAATACGTAAATAAAAATGACTTTTTAAGCAAAAAAAAGTCAAAAGGACAAGTTATTCCAAAAAAGGACTGTCCTTTTCAAAAAAGGACAGGAGGTAACCCGAGGTATTTCTGGAATGGAAATTTAATGGCAAATCTACAACTTTAGTTTGGAAATATGTTCCGGCCACCTATGATTACAAAAATGTCTTAAACGTGCTTTACCATTGCCTCCATATTCTAAAAAAAAAAATTGAAAGAAAAGTCACTAACCACAAACCTAATATAGAACTGTTTCGGAAGCCTGAGTCACCCTGTAAGTATTCAAAAGTAACTGAGTGTTTATATAGAAGTAACTGAAAGTTTAAATTGAATATTGACGTTGGAGCGATTTTCGAAAACTACCTACTAACGTTTCTACATAAGTATATGGGGGATATTAATTATATTATTATATTAGACCTTATAACAAAACTCATCTAACGAAAAAGCGTTAATGTAGTATATTAATATGGAGTAAAAATTTTACTTTAATTACTTTACTTTTACTTTACTAATTAAATTCGTTCCAAAAAACGATACGCCACTGTCCGTTAGAACAATCCAAATGCGCCTAGTTGCCGGGGTCGGAAATTTTAGACTTCTCTGTCTCTTCTGTCCTTGTTTGACACATTGGAATGTTTGATATACTACCAACGAGTATTTATGAATGAGATGTTCGGTCTATCTTTATAATGTCTTTGATTGGAATACTATTGGTGTAGTACACTAGCACTGTATTTCGTCACATCGGTTGTTAATAGAGTCATAACCGCGTCACAGTGTATTTACATTCCTCTTAAAAACTTAACAAGGATAAAAATAAAAGTATTATTTTCCCGCCATTATTTGTTCCTCAATATAGCAATATCTTCTAAGAGTTGACTTTGTTCCAATGTTTATACAGGGTGAGTCTAATGCAAATATTTTTAGTGGTATATTTCGACCTCCGAAATACATCCATT